TCTACCCAGCCCTGGAATCCCAGTCCCTCCAGCTACACCAAAATACCCGTATGGTCGTATCAACATGAAGAGGTATTCMACGCTGCTTGAAGCCTTACCTAAGCTTACACCACTTGGACCAGTWAAGTCTGCATACCCRTTAACRATGGAACAACTBGGCCAGAACAGTGGCTTYGTTCTTTATCGTAGTCAGATCCCTAACAATTTTGCTCAATCCCGACCAATACTAGAGATTAAGGAACTGGTGAGAGATAGAGGGATAGTTTATGTTGGAAATATCAGACAGAGCACTTTGARCAGAACAACCAACCAATCAACAGCTAGCATCATTGTGGGTGACTTTCTGCAACTTGATATTCTGGTTGAAAACATGGGACATATTTGTGATGGATCCGACATGGTCGACCCTAAAGGCATCCTTGGTAATGTTACAATCAATGGTGTACCAATAGTGAACTGGGAAATGTATCCTCTTGACCTGGAGAATGTGGTCCATGAAGCAACTCACTTCAAACAGCCRCCAGGAATTAAACTAACTGATTATGAACTATCACCAACATTTTTCATTGGGGAAATCCCAGCAGTGCCATTTGGCGACAGCGGGTTGGATTCATTCCTTCGCCTTGATTATTGGACCAAGGGTGTAGCGTTTGTTAACGGAGTAAATGTTGGTCGTTACTGGCCAGTATCTGGACCACAGCAGACATTGTATGTCCCAGCTAGTGTCATGGCACCCAATCARCAAGCAGGTACTTTGGTTGTCATGGAGCTAGATGACGCACCATGTGACTACCCTGATACATGCTATGTGGAGTTATTGACAGTGCCAGTTATCAATGGTACAGCAAAGCCTATGTTTGGAAAGACTGGTCGTCAACCAATGAAATTGAAAAAACATCATTGATGGTGAACTGAAAGATCAGCTTTGAATCTAATTTGAATTTCAATGAATTCTATTTTTTTGGATTTACTTTATATATGCTTACTGTTTTGATTAAGTGGAACTACAATGCTTAGGCTCCTCTGCATAAAACTCTCTCTATATGCAAAATCTTTTCATCTATAAGCAGGTGGGCTTCCTTTGGTGAGATGCAGTAGGACTGATTTTTCTTTCCCCTTCTGTCTTTTGTACATTTGTTCCAAGACTTCTCCAGAGTCAGTGAGAGTAAGAAGTTCCTGTGAACAAGTCTAGAACTGTTTTGATTATCTGTATTAAGATAACATAAGAACATTAGTTTATAACTATGATAAGAATGAAGGAATTGAAAATTAGCATGTTGCATATTGTATGTTTGGTATCTTATCAGACAATTTTGCATGGACTTTAGTCCATCTTATTTATTGTACAAAATTCAGTACAATTGCACTAGTATTTATAGATATTTATATTAGTAATAAACTGAAAATATTTATATATAATATTTGAATGTTTTAGAATGAATGTGTGGAACCTAGCCTAACAGCTATACCCTCTAGTGATACATGAAGGTCATAAAGACCAGAATTAAAACAATATGCAGTGAATTAAACCAACATACTTTTCTGCTCTGTTAGTATATGGACACCCTTCAAACTGTATGGCCTGCACAAATTGATGTACCCTAACTGGACAGATTGACAGTGTACCAGTGCAATTGAATGTATTTAGTTGAAACAAAGGAAACCAATCAAAATAAGTTCTGGTTACAAACTATCACGTGGGTTAAAGTGTAAGGGAAAAGATGTCAATGATTTCATAGTGGGCTAGCACAACTACCAGAATGCTTTGCCCAACCCAATATCAAATATTTTGGTTTGAAGCTTTTTTAGTTATTATTTGTTGTTTTAAGAAAGTTGAGAGGGAGCTTTCCATTCCTGTTCCAGCACAAGAATTGATCTCTAAATTTTATCTATTAGTATAATAAAAAAGTTGGAAAATTAATGAAAAATCTCGAAAAAAAGCCATAAATAACTAATCGTCCGGTTTGTCATAGCGCCCTTAGTTACGCAATGTGTGGGCTTCCTGTGGATATTTTAAACAACTCTTACTCATGTGATAACAGCGTGACAGACCATGAACAAAATGGCTGCAAGTCAGTTGTTCGTRCTGTTCTCTCTATTCCTAGCCGTCTCTATCTTCATACAGCCTTGTAAAGGTCGGTCTTTTGTCATCGACTACGATAAAAATGTCTTCATGAAAGATGGCGAGCCATTTCGCTACATTTCTGGCGGAATACACTATTTTCGAGTGCCAAAATACTACTGGAAAGACAGACTGACSAAGATGAAAGCCGCAGGMCTGAAYGCTATTCAAACTTATGTTCCTTGGAATCTTCACGAACCCATCCAAGGTAAATACAACTTTGAAGGCGATGCTGACTTRATAGACTTTATGAAACTTGCTGCGAGCTTGGACCTTGTTGTTGTACTCAGAGCTGGTCCCTACATCTGTGCYGARTGGGACTTTGGTGGTCTGCCAGCTTGGCTTTTGAAGAATACGTCTATCACAATAAGAAACTCAAAAGATAAGCAGTACATGGCAGCTGTGGAGTCGTGGATGGGAGTTCTTCTKCCTAAGATTAAACCAATGCTTTATGAAAATGGCGGACCAGTGATAATGGTCCAA